TGAGGTTATAGAGAACTTGAAACCCTTGACTTTGGTGACCCTCCAGACTTGTGTCGCTGTTTTCATGTGTTTTAATTTACACGTATTTCAACCCCCACAAGACGTTTTTGCTTCATATAACGAAATGGATATAATTCATATCATAAATGCTTTGTGCTGACCACACTCATTAGTCTTCTTGCTTTCTTTTATCTCCGAGCAGCTTCCGTCAGGGCTGCGTTTCCTTCTGCCCGAAGAATGTCTCTTATTGCGTTTGTGTCAGCTGGTCTCTGAAAATGTCTACTTCATCTTATAACATCTCCTGATGTTGAAGGAGGCAGTCCAGCGGGATTGGTCCCAGGAGTCCCATGGACATCAAACTCTGGGCACTCACATCCCTTATGTGAAGTGGCCCGGTGCAGTTGGCCTTCTGTGTTTGGTGTTTATTGGTTGCCATTGTTCCTGTCGAGACACCACTCCTGTGAAAACTGTTTTTTCTGCAGGCTGCTCCTTAGGTCTATTTCGTTTGTGTTTTGTTTGAGTGGTTTTCACCCTCATGGGTCCATGTGTGATTTGGTCTTACTCCTGCTGTTTGGAGTTTGTATGGCTCTTGGCCTCACCCCTCTGGCTCCATTCTTTGCTGTCCCTCTGGAGAGGAGCAGCACCTCTCCTGTTTTTTTGAACTTTTTTTCCTGTTATATTGTCCCTTTAAACTTTGAATGTTTCTAGACCAGTGATGTCCAGTAGAAATGTAAATCAAGTAAACATATGTTATTTAATCCTGTATATCATTTCAACATATAATCAGCATTAAAAATATTAATGAGGTTTTTTGCCCTTTTTTTTGGTACTAAGTATCAAATATAGTGTGAATTTTACACCTTCAGGCAGTCTCATTTCAGACCAGCCACTCCAGTGCTTTGGGAGCTGGTGGCCTCAGCATTGGTTAGTGTGGGTCTGTGGTGTGTCAGATTCTGTCCTTTGTGAAGGACAGGGTGGTGTGAGTTGTACTTCTAATTAGAAGACACTGTGTTTGGTGTGCACCAAGATCAGTGAGGCTGGTGTACTTGATTTTTTGTTAGAAGTAAAATGTCCTCAAGTAGTGGTGACTCTAAACAAATTAAATGTAGTAAAGATAGCCTCTGTGTGTGTGTGTTTATATATATACACACACACATATATATGTATTTTTTTATTTTAATGAGATAAGCACATGACTTAAGTAACTAAGTAAACCAAACACGCCTTCTGAATGGGGCTTTCTGGTGCTGCCCTGCACGCTTCAGCCTGCAGAGAGACCAGTGTGAGGAGCCCTAGTGAGCTCGTAGCTGGTCTGACCCTTTTCCGCTAGGTGATTGTCTCAAATGCCTTTCTTTCTGCAGCCGAGTGCTCATTTCTACGGACGTCTGGGCTCGGGGGCTGGACGTGCCCCAGGTGTCCCTCATCATTAACTATGACCTGCCCAACAACAGAGAGCTGTACATACACAGGTATGCCATGCAGGCTTTTCCTTGGTTTCATTCTTGTTGGTGGATGTACTGAAACCTTCTTTGCTATGTTTACTAAACTGATTGTGCTTTATTCTTGAAGAATTGGGCGATCAGGTCGATATGGCCGAAAGGGTGTGGCCATTAATTTTGTAAAGAATGATGATATCCGCATCCTCAGAGACATCGAGCAGTATTACTCTACTCAGATCGATGAGATGCCCATGAACGGTGAGACCCTAAGTCTGTCTGTGATTGTTGTAGGGAGAACTTCCTGGTTCCTAGTTTGGGGCACTTGAGGTTTTTCCTGTTTTGCTTTGTTTTTATGAAGTCTTTTGTGAGCCTTTAGTTAACTCTATAAATTTTCATTTTGTTTGTATTATTTCTTATTGTTTATCTTTCTTCACTTTCAGTTGCTGATCTGATCTGAAAAATCTGCTCACTGGAGCCTCTTCACCTATTTTGTATCAGTTTGGATTTTGTATCAGTTTGGAAATATTTAGAGGCGGTTTCTATTTAAGGGGGTTTGTGCGAACTCTATTCTCAAGGAATCTCCCCCCCCTCCCCACCTCACCCCAGGATGAACTCTGGAGATGGGGCCACCTTTTCTTACCCATGTGTAAATAATGCATTGCTTTAAGTCTTTTTCATTAAACATTTAAAAACTTTTCCCATAAATTCTAATTTGTATTTCTTAAGGTGGACCCAGCTTTTCTAGTGACCTACTGTCTGATCTCCTTTTATTCTGAATTTTGACCTTTAAGATGGTGAAATAGAAATGGTAAGCTGCTTGGTCTCGCCACACTTCCCCAGATTGGTACCCGATCCCATTTCTTAGGGATGGCAGGTGGAGGAGTCAGACCATCAGTACTTTTCTTTGGGTTGGCCTGGGTCTGTGTGCCTGGGTGCAGAGGGCAAGATAGGATCCCTGGGCGGATAACTGTAAGGAACTGTTCACAGCCAGGCTTCTCTGGATTAATAAGCACCCCCATCATGGCTGAGGAGAGGCCACACATAAGGCACCATGGGTGATTCAGGGAGGGGCCAACAGGAAACAAGCCACAAGGGAAGACCCCCTAAGAAGCTCAGCCTAAATCAGATGTTGTCAAGTAAGGAAACAAATGCAGACGTCCATATAAGTGTACCCTTGGGGATGATTGAAAAGCGGTATGTGATTACCAAAGGTTTCATAACCATTAGCCCTGAGTGAAATTGGTGAAGATGTGGGTGTGTGATGTTCACATGAGTAGGTACAGACTTTCTGGAAAGCAGCTGGGCTCTTGGGCAGTGGGAGCCATTGGAATGATACTTCCCTTTGAGGGAGTCGCTCTGCTGTCAGCAGTAGTCTGGAGTGCAGACTGCACAGGTGTGCTCACCAGTGTCCCCCGGCACCAGGAAAGGAGGCCTGGAAAGGAGTGTGCATCACCAGGGGCTTGGGGAGGGAAGTGATGTCCTATATGCACTGATGCACATGGGTGGGGGTTATTGGGTGGGTGTCTGGGGCTGCTAGTGTGACAGGCCAAGTGGGTTCATCTGTTCTCCATGGGCTAAGTGTTGGAGTTGGTGTGGAAATAATCCAGATGCCCACTGAACTGAAAGATGCAAGCATACCTGATGGATATTGTTTGGCAATGGGAAGGAATGAAGATCTGGCGCATGTTGCAATTTGGACCTTGAAATAGGCTGAGTAGAACAAGCCAGTCACAAAGGGCCACAGAAGTGCTTCTATTTCTGTTCAATGTCCTAAATTGGTAAATACATACAGTGGGTAACCAGTTTTCTGGGGGCTGAGAGGAAGTGACTGCTGAAGGGTACAGGGCTTCTTTGGGGGTGATGGAAATGTTCTGGAACTAGAAGTATGGTTGCAAGATTCTATGAATATACTAAAAGGTACGGAATTATACATTTTAAAATGGTAAATTGTGTGGTTATGTGAACTGTGTCAAAAATCAGGTGGGGAATCTAACACTTCCTCTAAATTATTCTTAAAAAGGGCATGGGCAAGGGGTGAAATACTTGTAAAGCATGTACTTGACAAAAGACAAACTGGAAAATATGAAGAATTTTATGTGTAGGTAGAATGATGGTCCCTCCAAATGTGTGCTCAGTTGCTTAGTTGTGTCCAACTTTTTGTGACTCTGTGGACTGTAGCCTACCAGGCTTCTCTGTCCATGGAATTTCCCAGGCAAGAATGCTGGAGTTGATTGCCATTTCCTTCTCCAGGGGCTCTTCCTGACCCAAGAATTGAACCCATGACTCTGGAGTCTCCTGCTTTGGCAGGCAGGTTCTTCACCACTAGCGCCATCTGAGAATTGGGTTCTAACATGACAAACTTGGAACTGAGGGCTACTAATTGTTTATCAACTTCCATTTTTTTCTTAGGACCTCAGACAGTAGTGAAAATAAACAAGGAATTATACTGTCAGTGCTGTGGGCAAGAATATGTCCTAGATAAGGAGTCTCTGTTAAGAAATCCATCTGAGGGCTTCCCCGATGGCTCAGTGGTAAAGAATCTGCCTACCAATGCAGGAAACACAGGTTTGATCCCTGATCTGGGAGGATCCCACATGGCTCAGAGCAAACTAAGCCTGTGCTCTAGAGCCCAGGAGCTGCAACTACTGAGCCCATGTGCTCCAACGACTAAAGCCCATGCTCCCTAGAGCTCATGCCCCCCAAGGAGAGAAGTCACACACCACAACTAGAGAGTAGCTCTCATTCAGAGATTAGAGAAACCCACCTAACCCATTCCCAAATGCCCACATCCTAATCCCTGGAACCTGTGAATATCCCACATTAAATGGCCAGAGGGACTTTGCAGGTGAGATTAAGTTAAAGAATTTGAAGGGCTACCATGGGTCAGAGAGTGGTGTAATGGAAGAGGCGGGAGAGAGTCTCATTGGTGAGGACTCAGCTCACTGTTGCTGCATTCGGTGCCCCGAGCTATGATCTGGAGTAGCCCCTAGAAGCTCAGGAGGATGTGTAGGTGGCAGCACACCTCAGACCTGTGTGCTCGGGAGACTGAATTCTGCCAACAACCCGAAAGAGCAAGGGAGCCTCCAGAGAGGAAGCAGCAGCCCTGCTAACACCTGATTGTAGCCCGGTGAGACCAAGTCAAACTTCTGACCTACAGAACTGTGATAGAGTAAATCTGTTATTTTTAAGCCATGGAGATTGTGGTAATTTGTCAGTAGCAATGGAAAAACTTTTATAACTCAGGGGGAACAAATCCAAGTAAAAAGTAGGCAGAATACCTGAATAGACACTTCACCAAAGATTTATGAGTGACATAAGTCCAGGAAAAGATGCTCACCATCTTCAGTCATTAGGAACACAGATCACACCCATGAAATCTACTGTCACTGAAATGGCTGAAATTGAAGAGACCAGACCAAGCCACAGCGAAGCTGGTAGGAGCACAGAGCGAGTCACTCACTTTGGAAAATTGTTCAATCACACACACACCCCCTCCATATGACCTGACTGTATCATGCTTGGTGTCTGCTCAAGAGAAATGAAAACGTCCATTCACACTGGTCCGCGACTGCTGAACACATCTTTATTCCTAACAGTAAAAGGCTGAAAACACTCAACACCATTAAAATTTGATAAACCGTGTGGCACATTCCGTACCACAGAAAACTATTTGGCAATGAAAAAGTACCCATACAACATGGATGAATCTCAAAGTAGTTAGATTAATATTAGCCCCCTCCCCCCCAAAAGAGCTGTATGATTCCATTTATAGAAAATTCAAAAAAAAATGTAAACTATAGTGACCAAAAGCAGACCAGTGGTTGCCTGGGAACGGAAGTGTGGGTGTAGCAGCTTTAGTCCATAGAGCCCTTGAGCAGGGTTGGGGAGGGCATGCATCTCCCACCAGGTGACTGACACCAGGCCTGGCTGGCTGTTCTTCAGTCACCTGAGAGAGGATACTAGGGTGTGAGGTGATGGGCTGTGAGGGTGCTGCTTAGAGTGCACAATAAAGCATGCACACTCTGCCCAGAAATGTCCAGGGGCCCATCAAGGATGGAGTCCTACTTCTGTGTCAAGACCTTCAGGCGCATCCTTTTATTGAAAATAATTGCACTTCAGATTGAGGGTTCCCTGAATTCTGTGAACTCTGCTGAGTTGTTGGGGGCAGTAGCCCCCAGTTCTGTGCTTTTATCGGGTCCCAGCAGCAGGGCCTCCCGAGGTGGGGGGGCCTTGCAATGCAGGTACCACCCTGTCCAGGCACCACCTCTGCATCATAGGTGGGCAGTGGTGGCTGACAGTGCACACACATTGCAGTGATAGGCTACAGAGGAGCAAAGCTTCCAGTAAACATTTCCAATATAGGGCACCCCTCAGGGCATTGATCTGACTGGCATCTGGGCAGAAGACTCAGACGAGCTGCTGGCCCAGAGCCCGGGAGACAGACTCACAAGCAGATCTGGGTGTTCAAGGACGTCAGTGCCATGTGACTTGGGGTAAGCAAGGCCCCTTCTGACCCAAGGCCCCTACTCCGCCGACTGAGGGTGCACGTGCTAGGCCACTGGGAGGTCTGTAAAGGAGCAGCATACCACTGGGCCCCGGGCTAAGACCAGCTGATGACAAACTGCTCTCCCATGGTCAGCGAGACAGGGATGTCCAGAGTCTGGGGACAAAAAATAGGAAAACTGGGTTGGCAACTGAAGTGAGGCAGACGAGCCTGCAGATGAAGGTGGGTGGTGGACATGGGGCCTGGCCCGGCCCTGGGAGTCTTGCTCTTCCCTCCCAGCACTCCTGGCAGTGGCCGCCTCAATCTGCTTTGGAAACGAGCTGCCGTTTAACCAGGGGCTGACAACGTGGACACGGGCAGAGGAAAGATGTGAAGTGTAAGGGGCTATGCTCCCCACTCTTCCATGAAGTTCCGCTCCCTCTCTGCCCGTGTAACACTCAAGTGTCCTCTCCCTGCTGGACGGGGGTCCCATGAATGCCAGCTCAGCGGGCACCTCCCACCCCCTCACCCACCCTCAGAGACAGGCCCTCTGGCCCCAAGTGTGGGCTCTCTTGCCTCTGTGTCAGGGCTGAAGGTGAAGTTGGAGACAGGAACGCTGTTGCAGAGGACCTGATGGGGGGCTGTGGCCACCCCCAGGACAGTCACGTTCCTCAGCTGCAGGCTGGCCCCCTCACTGCTCACGTGCACCAGCTTGTTCACAATGGTGTTCTGGCCGGAGCAGAGAGACAGGACCGGAGGTGTGAGCAGATGGTCTGGGGCAGTAAGCCCCACTCGGGCAGGGTCTCTGGGCAGCACACCCCCTGCAACCCCTGGGATGCTGGCACAGTGCAGGGAACTCTGGTCAAGGCACTTGGCCCACAGGCTCTTCTCCCCTTCGGTCTCGTTGACCCGGTGGCAGGTGGCCATCCCAGGAACCCAGGCCCAGCTACCCTCACCGAGTCAGGATAGTCACCCCAAGATGGCCCCCAGCCTGGGCGGATCCGACTCACGTTCTTGGCCAGGAAGATGAGCTGTGTGTAGTCCCCGCCGTCCAGCACTCCCAGGCTCTCCCCGTCGTCCCAGAACAGCTCCCCTTGGGCCTCCCCACTGGTGGTCAGGGCCACAGCCAGGGCCATGGGCTGCTTGCGGGACTCTGTGGTCGTGAGGGCAGGGCCCTGGGAGGGGGTGGCCCACGTCACTGTCCCAAGCCTGGTGGAGGCCTCCAAACCCAGGTGTGAGGGATGCTAGGCTAGGACAGTACCGTAGTGGAAGAAACCGAGATCCGCAGGACAGTCTAAGCCAAGTAGCCTGGAGGCCTGTGGAGACCACCCTGACCCAGGGGTCACCTCAGAGGACACAAGGCCCATGGAAGTTTGCAGACTGACTGTTTTCTGAGAAGGGCCAATGAAGCTCTAGAAGGCCTCCCCTCTGCCTGGCCTGGGAGCAAGTCAGTGCAGGGATGTGTCCTTCCCCAGCCCAGGTCATCCTCACCCCTCAGAAGCATCATCTCTCTCTGGGGGCGGACCTCCAGCTGGAAAGAGGCATGTGGGGGCCCAGCAGCCCCAGGGCTGGACAAATGGGCTCAGGGGCCCAGTCCACGTACCTGCATAGGGATGATGTGCCCAGCCCGGAGGTGGACGTTGATGGTGTCCAGTGGGGCGGACAGCGTCACCCACTGCCCCTTGCTGTGGATGGTAGATATGAGGGGTGCAGGAGGTGGGAGGCTGCCAAAGGCCTCCATTGGTACCTGAAGGGGGATGTCATGTCACAAAGGGTCCTGGGCAGTGCCAAGACCCTGTGCTGTTGTTGGGAGGCAAGAGTGGAGACTGGGCCCCACAGTGGGGACAGAGCATGAGAGGCTGGAGCCAGGGCTCGGGTGGGGCTGCTCAGAGAATGGGATAAGGGGCAGGAGTGTGGAAGCAGGAGAACTGGAGTCCTGGCTCAGTTTGGTGGCAAGTCACCCATCCAGACTCAGTTTCCCCATCTAGAAAATGGGTCCTGCAAGGATCTCACAAGATGCTGCTAGTGGAGCAGCTCCAGGTGAGGGCCCTCATGTAGCCAGGACCCCTCCATACCAACAATGCCAGAGGGAGGACCTCTCCACCATCTCCCCCATCCTCCCAGGCTTTAGGGCCCCAGGACTCACCTGGGTCTGCAGGTCGTACCATGTGCCCTGGGGGAAGTAACCAGTGACTTCAACCTTCTCAGCCTCGAGCACCGGGGTGATAAGCAGAGCCTCCCCCCACAGGAGCTGGCGGTCCACAGTCCAGGTGCTGGGGTCCTCAGGGAACCTTCAAACAGGAAAGACTGGCAGGGCGGTCTGGTAACCTCTGAGGTCAGTGGGCTCAGGGGGCCCGTGGGAGGTCTGGAAAGGAGCTGAAGGACCTGGGTTACATGCGGTAGGGCTGGTTCTAGCCAAATGAAGTCAAGGCAGGAGCCAAGAGTAACCTCTCCTTGCCTGATTATCCAGGCATGACCTGTTCACATTTCCTACTTGCAAACTGTGCTCTTGCCCATGTGTTTTATTTGGTTCTTGATATTAGTCTTACACTTGGTCTGAGTATCTGTACATTAGGGAAAGTGTCATTTTATTGACAAGTGAAAGTCACTCAGTCATGTCCGACTCTTTGTGACCCCATGGACTATACAGTGCATGGAATTCTCCAGTCCAGAATACTGGAGTGGGTAGCCTTTCCCTTCTCCAGGGGATCTTCCCAACCCAGGGATCGAACCCTGGTCTCCTGCATTGTAGGCAGATTCTTTATCAACTGAGCCACGAAGGTTTTCTGCTATTCATTTGCCTTGACAATCAGAGCAGTTTTCTGTTTATTTTTCTGTTTATGTTCAGAGAAATGTTATTTTTTTTCCTCTAAATTAAACATCCTTTGCTTTTTGCTTTTGATGCTTAGAAAGCCCTTTCTTGCCAGAGCAGAGGGAAACATGGACTTCTGTTTTCCTGGGGCTTTTTCTACAGCTTAATTTTTGACATTTAATTCATCTGGAATTTAAGTTTGTATGAGATGAGAGGAAATAGATTTTTGCAAATAGCTTACTAATTACCACACTACTGAAAAATCCTTTAACCCTCTGATTCAAGGAGCCATTTTACAGGATGGTAACTTCTCAGGTATACTGAGTCCTATCTGGGGGATAGCTATTGAATTTCTTCGGTGGTCTTATTACCTTAAGCCCCAAACGGATTCAATCATGGCCGACTTACAACTTGTTTTGCCATCTGGGAGGCCTGGTCTGTACTCAGTGTTCATCATGGGATTTTCTGTTATTGAGGGCTCCTAGCCCTGAACTGGAATCCAGTGGGTAGGAACTGGGGGTGCAGGGGTTACCTCAGTGGGGAGGGCCCAGATTTTGCTGCCACACCCCTGCTCTTGGTGCCTGGAACACCCAACGCAGGAGGGTGGCTGCCCTGGGGTCAGTGGGCCTGAGGCCATCGCTCCCAACCCAGGCACTCACTCCAGGAAGAGGGGCCGGGCCACCGTCTCGCCTCTGACGTGGGCCCCGTGGAACAGCGTGTAGAGATAGGGCAGCAGCATGTAGCGCAGGGTGAAGGCCTTCCTCATGGCTTGTTGCGCTGTCTCACTGAACCTGTACGGTTCCTGCGGCTGCGGTGGAGGGCGTGGCGGAAGCACCTGGGATCTGGGGTGGCAGTCCCCCAGGCTCCCCCACCCCAGGAGATCCGGCACTCTGGGCCAGCCAAGGCTGGGATCCCTGGCACAGAAAGCGGTGTTCCCCAGGGCACAGCCTCCCCTGCCATCCCTGCCCTACCTGGCTGTTCAAGGCATTGTGGTTCCGCATGAAGGGGTAGAAGGCCCCTAGCTGGGTCCAGCGCACACACAGCTCCTCTGAAGTGTTGCCCAGGAAGCCACAGATGTCGGCCCCTACCAGGGGCACCCCCAGCAGATTGAAGAGCAGGATTTCTGGAGGGCAGAGTCAGACAGGTCTGCAGACTCCACAGCCGGGCCTGTTCCAGGAGCCTGACAGACGTCTGTTGAACTGGCGAGGGAGAAGGATCCCTCCCAAAGACCCTCCCACTCAGCCCCCACCTGACGGCTGGCGCATCCTGTACTCGTGGTTTCAGTAGAACAGCCTGCTGTATCCGCTCCCTAACACCTAGGGTGTGCAGGGCAAACTAGATCAGTCAGGGATGAATTGAATCCCCTCCCCACCCCACAAAGGTTAAGTTCTAATCCTAACCCCCAGTTGCTGGGAATGTGACCACATTTGGAAATACGGTCATTGCAGACATGATCAGGTTGAGGACATCAGGGTGGGCACTGATCCACCATGACTTGTTTCCCTATCAGAAGAAGGCATCAGATACAGGAAACACAGAGGGTCCCAAACAAGATGAACTCAAACAGACCTACACCAAGACACAATTAAAATGGCAAAAGTTAAAGAGGATTCAGGCCTGACCCACCACGCTGGCCCCAGTATGAAAATCAGAGCCAGTCAGCACCCATGGGCAGAGCCAGCAGCAGCCTTGTGAAGGAAGAATGGACTCAGCTCAGCAGGACGTCACATACACAATGGCACATATGCATCACACGTGAAAGCGAGCCTGTGACTAGGAAAGCACTTCCAGGCTGGAGGGTTTGATGGAGGCTCTCTTCAGCTGTGACCTCAGGGGGTCACCTCTCCCCTCTCCCCAGGGCTCCTGAGCCATCCCTGGGCCTAAGACATCTGCAGCATCAGAGGTCTTGAAACAAAAGTCAAAATTCTCTTTGCAAGGTGGAGCCAGGCACTGAGACAACAGCGGTGGGGGCGCCCTTTGGACTGAGCTCAGATGCAGTTTTCATGCAACTTAGAACGTGGTCATCAGAAGGGAAGTTTAACAAAGCATGAATCCAAGATGGGATGCTGGGAAGAGGGGCACCACAGGTGAGCCCACTCTCACAGGTAGCTGACTTGCACAGGTGAGCCCACTCACAGGAGTTGGTGGCAGGCCCCACCCCATCCCAGTAGCATCTCTTTGAGAACCTGGCTCTGGACAAACTCCCCTGGAGAGGGGCCCACCCTCCACTCCTCGTCCCACCTCCTGACAGGTGTGCTCACCTGGCATGGAGTAGGAAAGCTGCTCCCAGTTGCTCCACACATCCCCTGTCCAGTGGCCGGAGTATCGGCCGTGGCCAGCAAAGGTTGAGCGAGAGATCACGAAGGGACGCGTCCCTCGAGCCTTCACCAGGGCCCTGGGTGGAAAGAGCTGTGCTGAGCGGGGTCACCAGGAACCTCATCACTGCCAGCAAGAGCGCCTGGCAGTGCAGCAGGGAGGACAGGCTGGGAACAAGGAGCCGGATAGCTGAGGGCTCTGCCTATGTCTGCCAGGCAGTCAGCCCTGCCACCCGACTTACCCTCAAAATGCACATGTCCCAGGCTGGACAAACATCCCTTGAAGCTCAAGGAAGCCAGAGGTCCTGACCAGCCCTGGCCTCCCTGTCTCATCACTATGCCCTTCCTCTGAGGCACCAGGCATGGAGCCAGAGGGTAAGAGGGGTTAGAATGGGGCTGGCGGGGGCACTGGGGGGAACCTGGGCTTCCTTCTCTCCTTCCCCCACCCTGGCCCCTCACCTGTAGGAGGCTAAGGCTTCAGTCAGGCCATACAGGTTGTGCAGGTCATAGTGTGTGGACAGGAACTGGTGGCTGGAGGCGCAGATGGTGGCTGCCCGGAGGGTCCCGCCAACCACCCCTGGAGAAGAGGGGGCTGTTTCCTTGGAGCCTCCGCCCAGCAGGCTAGTGCCCCCCACATCCTGGAGCTCCTTGAGACCTGGGTACAGTCTCCACTTCTCCAAGGACAGGGAGGTGGTGCCACAGCCTGGCCTCTGCAGACCCAGACTTCACCTCTGCCTGCTCCTGAACCAGCTGCCCCTGGAGCACCCCCTCTGAAGGGTCTCGCCTCAGCAGCACATGCCCGGTCAGCATCACATGGCTGGGGTCTCCCCACATGAACCTCACTCCTGAGGCTTCCCTCACATGCCCCGGGCTCCTGCTGTCCATCAGCTTCTCATAAACCAGGGCTTGAAGCCTCCCAAACCAGAGAAGGGAAAGCCCTTGATTTGAGCTATTAAGTCCCCAGCTGACTAGTGCTGGGACAGGCGGGTGGAGGCAGGTAGGGACTGGGGACAGCTCACCTGGCGTGTAGGGTGGGTTCTCCAGGTTGTTGTCCGGGCAGCCATCCACCGAGCCCCTCACGAAATTGGATGGCTCATTCATATCCTGTGAGAAAGGACCGGGGGGTGGGCATCCTACCTGGTGCAGGGCATGGGGCCGGTCCCCAAGGCCACAGGACACCCAGGGGCAGGGCCACACTCACGATCCACATGCCATCGAAGGGCACTTGGGCGTGGAACTCAGTCACCATGTCCTGCCACCAGTCAAGAGCCTCGGGGTTGGTGAAGTCGGGAAAGGCGGTGAGTCCGGGCCACACCTGGACAAGAGGTCAGAGGGCAGACGGGGCCCCTGGAGCCTGCACAGAGGTCCTGGGCAAACCAGCTGCGGGCAGGGCTGCAGCCTCACTCATCTCCCCTGGGGGTGGGTGGACTGCAAGGGGGAGGAGCATGGGGAAAGGCCCCAGAAGCCACACTCCTGGCAGCCTTCTTCCTGGTCCTTGGCTTGCCCTGGGGAAGAAGCAGGGACTCTTCTGGATGCACCCCTGCACCCCTCCCACCCCACCGCATGGAAGCCCCTGGGGACCCAGAGGATGTAGAGGACTCTGAGGTCTCCCTGAGGAGCTTTGGAGCTTGCGTCTGAACTGCCTGCAGACACGGGCCCCTGACACAAGGATTCTAGGTGGCCTGCCTTGTCAGAAGCCACTGTCACCCCCAGCTGTGAACCCCGCCTTCAGTACCACTGGCCAGAGACCCCTCTTTCTCCCCCTCACCCCCCAGGCCCCACTGTACCTGCCCAATCAGTGGCTGCCCAGTCTCATTGGTGATGAAGACCCCTCGCCTCAGACCCTCGTCGTAGGGTCGGTAGGTCCCAGCAGGGCCTGAGCTGCTGATGGCAGGATCCTGGAGAGAGAAACCAGTCAGGATGAGAAGGAAACGCCTGAAACCTTGGCCCGATTGCTGAGAAAATGCTCTCCCTAAACGTTAGCAAGGCAGAAGTGGATGCAGCTTCATGTGAGTCAACACGCTGTGCGTGGAGGTGCACGCAACCCGCCCCCGGGTTGGCCAAATGGGGAGCACCTGGATGCAAGAGTTACTTTTGCTTGAAGGGCCCAGAATTTCACAAATGCTCTACAGTGACTATTTATCTCATTTAGAAATAAAAATAAGAAAAGGTCTGCACCTGCCCTCCTTACTCTGAGTGAGTGGCCCTGGACACGGCTCCCTTCAGAGGGGCCATGAGGATAGAAATGACCATCAGACCAATTCCAAATGGATTTCTTCTCCTGAGGGGCATCCGTGGTGGCAACTACTTGGTTGTCTCAGCTCCCCCTCCCCACCTCCTCCTCCGGGCACCCCCCACAAGCTATACCAGCCTGAACTGCATCCCTCTGGCTGCGGGGACTAGCCTAGGGAAGTGTGTCCTTGTGCTGAACCACTCAGAGCCTGCCCTGCTCCCCATAAGGCAGAACTGACCACAGGGAGGAAAGGCAGGGGTCTCAGGGAGCATTCCAGCTGCCCCGGCACACAGCTCCACCTGGCCTGCCCAGAGCTGAGTGGTGTCAGCTGAGTGATGCACTCACCACTTGCTTTCAGCGCTTCAAGCAACTTACAGCTGCAAGGATCCTGAGCAAAGACATGTTTCCAGGGACATCACTGAACTGGGCCACAAAGGCCAAGTCTATAAATCTGATAGTCCCTCAATACCAAAGACCCTCAGAAATGTCCTCCGTGCCCATAGCAGGTCAAGGACGATGCCACTGAGAGTTGGAGCCACCGGACGCTGGGACCCTTGGCTTCCAAAAGAGCCTGCTCCACACGGCACAGGACCCAAGGGACACTCACCACGATCATGATGTACCGCCGACCGATCTGGTGGAGCTCCTGCACCATGGCCGGGAAGTCCCCGAAGTGGTCCTTGTTGAAGGTGAAGTCCCGTCTGGCATCCATGTAGTCGAGGTCATTCCACTGGACGTCCTGCAGCCACAGCACAGGGCGGTCGGGGCCCAGGCTCGCCACCCCCACCCCCCAACGGGCCCCAGGCCCCTCCCCAGCACTCACCAGGGGGAAGTAGGCCCTGGTCATGTTCTCTACGACCTGGCGGGTGATGGCAGAGGTGGAGTAGCCCCAGCGGCACAGGTGGAAGCCCAGGCCCCAGTACGGCGGCATGAACGGGTAGCCTGGGGGCCAAGGTGACTGTGAGTGGGCAGGAGGGGCTGGGGAGGGAGCAGCCGGGGCCGGGGCGAGGCCTACCCACGACGTCCAGGTATTGCTGCACCACGCTCTTGGGCTCCGGGCCCAGGAAGATGTACACGTCCAGGATCCCACCTGTCGACCTCCAACTGAGGGCTGGGCTGGGCTGGAGGACCACATCTGGAGGAAGCAGCCTTGGGGCTCAGGGATAAATACTCACCCCCCGGGGCCTTCAGTGCTGCACCAATGGGCCAAACACCTGCTGGAAAGGTCCTCCTGCAGGGAGCCCGGGGGCCCAGGGCAGTCACTCTGAGCCCAGCTCACTGAGAGACTTGGAGCAGGACAGGAAGGTGCTGAGCAGCCTGAGGCCCCCCCTTTATGGCCTTAGTCCCCCTCCTCACATCAGAGGTCTCACCTTAGGGGCACCGAAGGATAGAGCTGGCAGAGGCCAGGGCCTGCTGCTCATTTCTCAGAGAATGTACAAGGCTCAATCCCCTGCCCCCTCCTCTGAGACCTGCAACCTGTCAGGCAGGTGCAGAGAGTCCCAGCCCCCTCAAGGCAGGAGGGGGTGTAGCTGCATCAGGGAAACCCTGGCTGGGGGCTTAGAAGTGGAACTGGCCAGAGGACGTGGAAGGCCGTGCCTCCGTGCTTACCCATGGCGTTGCTATTCAGCAGGAAGACCCCATGAGCCAACCCACCATCCTCCAGGACCAGGTAGAAAGGGTGAGATCCGTAGAGGTTCACGTTGGGCTGGGACATGGCAGACACCCCTCTTTACGTCCTGGCCCATGAGGCCCCTCTGATCCCAGACCCCCTTCCGCCACCCCTTTACCTCAGGGGCGATGTCCCGGTTCCAGAGGGTGATCTTGGTCCAGTTGGTGCTGAGCATCAGGGACCCAAGATGTTCAGCAAGGCCTGTGATGTGCTGGGATGGCAGGGAGGTGGACAGCTGCAGAAACTGGTCCGCAAAGAACAGGGGGGCCACCGTGGTGTTCAGCCTGCCAGAAGAGACCAGGTGGCCTCGCATGAGAAGCTGACAGCCCCTTGAGCCCTGATCACAAGCGGCTGCTGCCCAAAACCTTCCAGTCCTGGGAGTTGTGGCCCGGAGTACTACCTCCCAGGAGGGCCAAACTGCTCCCAGACTTTATGGAGCTGCCCAGCCAGAGGCAGTTAGGGCACTCCGAGGTTCCATAGGGTCAAGAGAAAGGATGAGACAAGTTAATAACTGCAGTGTCTGATAAATTGATATGTGCTGTGTGCTGTGCTTAGTCACTCTGTTGTGTCCGACTCTGTGACCCCATGGACTATAGCCCGCCAGGCTCCTCTGTCCATGGGGATTTTCCAGGCAAGAATACTGGAGTGGGTTACCATGTCCTCCTCCAGAGGATCTTCCCGACCCAGGGATCAAACCCAGGTCTCCCGCATTGCAGGCAGATTCTCTACTGGCTGAGCTACTTGGGAAACCCATATTGATGTGTACTGTGTGATAAAGAAATAAATAATAAAGCAGAGTACGGGGTGTTGCCTGGAGTGACGCAGCTCCTTTAGACTGGACAGGGTTTCTCAGCCGAGGCACTGCTGATGTTTGGGCCGATCCCTCTGTGTTCTGGGCTGTCCTGTGTGCCGTGGGGAGCTGAATGGAATCCCTGCATCCCCGCCTTGGTGGTGACAATGTCTCCAGCTGTTGCCAAGTGTCCCCTGGGGAAAATCACTCCCCATGGGCCTCCCTAGGGTGGACAGTGTGGGTGGGGGGCCTTTGAAGGCTCGGGTGCAGGGAACAGCGAGCACCAGGGCCCCCGGGGGCCATGAACAGCAAAGAGGCCAGAGCAGGAGGGTGGACCACAACAGGGTCAGAGACAATGCCCTCCAGTTCCCTGGCCCTCCCACCCAGATTGGGGGCGGGGGGCACAGAGACTAGGCACTCACAGCACCCGTCCATCCAGCTTCCGCCGCACGACCACCCCAAAGGGCTCCTCTGAGAACTCCATGCTGTACAGTGTGAACGGCGCCTGGCTGCTGACATGCGGGGTCTCCAAGGGCACCTCATAACGCCTGTTGGCAGGATCTTTGATCTAGAGGACGAGAATAGTGTCATGAGGCCCTTGGTGGCTGGCCGCCCCTAACACCTGTCCACTCCATCCTTCACCCTCCAGAGGAGGGAGGAGTCAGTTCAAGTCCCCAGGGTGGCTGCACAGAGCATGGAGGTGTGGACAGACTAGTCCACACCCCTGAGCCTCAGTTTCCTATAGAGCCAGGAGAGCACCTCCTGTGGGCTGCCAGGTAAAATATACAACACCAGGAAATCTGGGTTTCAGATACACAATTGTTTTTAGTATTAATATGTCCCAGATATTCTATGGGACATACTTATGCTAAAAAAAAAAAAAAAGACTAATTCCTCAGTTATCTGAAATTCAAAACTGTATTTTTATTTCTTGAATCTGGCAACACTTTTCTGCCTGACATTCCTAGTCATATGGTGAATGTGAAAACATAATTAGATCACCCAACCATTGTCTGGGTACACAGTCATCACTCAGTAATTCGTGGCTGTTGTTAATTACTTTGTTAAAATAACTGGGTATTACTGAACTGTGTGCTGCAGGCTCTCTCACCTTTGTGTCTGGACATTCATTCAGCAGACAAATTTTTACCGAGCACCTGCTATGTGCCAGACACTGTCCCAGTGGCTGGGAATAAATCAGACAAGAGGCCCTGCCCTCAGTGGCTGGGATCCCAATACCCACTGCCTGGAACGTCCCCCTTCTTGCCTCCTACTTTAGGTCCCAGCTGGGATGTCACTTCCTGGGGGGGAACCTAACCTTCCACCACCTCACTTTAAGCCCTGCCCTCTAGAACACGCCTAGAAACTCCCAGTCACTGTCTTAGTGACCCACTACCCCCTGAATGTAGATGCCACGTCTGCTCACACCCAGGCTCTAGGTAAGGGTACAATACACATGTGCATTAATAAACACCCCCCCCAAAAAAAAACACCCCCCAGAGTCCGTCTTCAGGCTTCCCTGGGGGCTCAGATGCTAAAGAATCCGCCTGCCATGCGGGAGACCTGGGTTCAGTCCCTGGGTTGCAAGATCCCCTGGAGGAGGGCATGGCAACCCACTCCAGTATTCTTGCCTGGAGAATCCCCATGGACAGAGGAGCCTGGCAGGCTACAGTCCTTGGGGTTCTCAATGAGTCGGACATGACTGAGTGACTCAGCACAGCAGAATCCGTCTTCATCCACTGTCCACACACCCGCTCTGCCCCTGCCCAGCCCCTGGCCCCCATCCTGCCCACCGTGAAGTGGAGTCGGCTCTCGGTCTCCATCAGCACATCCAGCCTCAAGGTCATGATGTCCTTGGGGAAGAAGGTCGGGACGGCACGGGTCAGGGTGGCCGTGTACCCTGTCTCAGTGGTGGTCAGGTTCTCCAGTCTGTAACTGGGGTAGCTGGGAGGGAAGAAGCACCAGGGCTGCCCCATCTGGGCATCCGGAGGCCACTCTGCAGGCACGTAGCAGCAGCCGCGGGCCTCACATTGTTGCTGGGTGATGCCCTTGTCTGGGGCGCAGTCGAAGCAGCTGTTGGGGGGCAGGTCGCACTGTGCGGGCGCTGCCCTGGGGCTGCCACGGCATTCTGGGCTGCTGGCTCCTGGCTGGCAAGCTTGGTGAATCTCGTCTTGGGAGAAGCCTTGTAGTTCTCGGGGGACCACCTCCAAGTCATGAAGCAGGATGTTCCCCAGGAGGGCCAAGGAGAGGAGGGTGCAGACCCCCAGCAGGGAGCGGGAGCAGGGTGGCCACCTCATCGTGGGTGGGCAGTGGATCTAGGAAGCGGGCAGACAGAAAAACCAGGCTCAGTGGGACAGTAGGAGGGAATGCCCAGGACCTCAGGAGACTCTCAAAGCAGCTTCCAGACTTGAACTTGGGGCTGGCCCATCAGCGCCCAGGGCGGAAGTGAATGAGGGCAGACCTGGGGCAGGGAGGAAAATGGGAAAGGAGAGAAAAGTCCCAAACAGGGAGTTGCAGAATTCTGTGCATTGTGAACTCTTCTAATGTGTCACAAATTAACGCATCTAGAATGTCTGTCAAAGTGACTTCATGACTCAACAAAGACAAAATAACAAAATGACAAAATGACTCAACAAAATGACAAAATGACTCAACAAAGACCCACATGACAGATCAAGCGGAACAAGTTCCCACAGCAGATGGAGTAAGTCCCGCTCTTGTATGAGGATTGTGGCTGAGGTGATTAAGTCTTGGCCAATGGGGCAGAAGCGCGCCCTCTCTCTGTCCTTCTCTGCTGACCTGGATGTGGATACAGCCTCTGAGGGGTCTTGGGCACCACAACCCAGGGCAACACTCAAGGATGGCCGAGCAAAGGAGAGAGGCCTGGCCCCCAGGACTTGGCAGGTGTAGCCCCTCCCGGCCCCTGCCCACATGGGGTCTGGTTGTGGGTCTCTGCCACAGCCACTGTACTGGAGCCTCATTCTGGTGACTCTGGTGCTAAGACTGTTATTACCCGCATCTTGCTTATCTTTATGTAAGGAACACTGTCCAGCTCCTCTGAGGAGCAGCAGCCATGGATACGGGACTAAACATGCCAGGATTTTACTCGGGGAATCCTTTTTATCTGCTTGAGAGAAAATGCGGAGGTTGGCAGAGAGGCTGAGACCACCCACACATACCCACCCTCTTGAGTGGAGGCTGGTGGGTCACAGACTGTCATGCAAGTTAAGGAAGGTTGGTGAAGGCCATGGCACTGGGAGTCCTCAAGCCAAAGCTGGTCCTTAGAGGGGTCCAGGTCTCCCAGAAGAAGCCTGCCCTAGTGTTAAGGGCCAGGAGGTGGCCCCTTGCAGGAGATGGCAGTGATGCTGTCAGGGCACAGAAGCAGAACCTCTGTCAGCAAAGCTCCTTGTGGCAAGATGTCTGTGAGCTGCATTCTCACGGCCTCTGGAAACATGCAGATACTGGGGGGGGAGGGGGGGGGAGTCACCCACCGCAGAAGTGCACCCACGTCACTGAGAGTCTGAGCCTACCCCAAACAGACAAGTCAGTCACCTGGAACATTCTGGCCACCATACTTCACCGGTATGTTAAGTGTAAGAGCAAAGTGTTTTCATTCACAACACTTCTGACACCAAAAGCGTGGGGCTTTTTCACACTCAGTTCAATTCTGACAAGAACTCCTGGATTAGCAAAGACCCTACAGGTTGAGGGCTCAGTCCCATGAACTTCCCCCATCTCAGACACTAACTATGAGTTCCAGATCGTCACTTCCACTTCTGACCATGTGGCTATAAATTCCAGGGTTCACACAACACCCCTCACCTCAGGTTCAATAACTGCCTAGAACAACTCACAGAACTCAGGAAAGCACTTTACTTGTTTATTATAAAAGATACAACCTAGGAATACCCAGAGGGCAAGGTATGGACAAGGGGTGCTCAGCTTCTATGCCTTCTCTGGGCTGGCCACCCTCTGAGCAACAAAATGTGTTCACCGGCTTGGAAGCTCTCTAAACCCCAACTAAATGTAGGCACGAAATGATGAGATCACTGACCACTGGTAGTTAACTTAATCATCAGCCTTGCTCCTGGGAGTGAGGCCAGGTGAAAGTTCCCACCCTGGAATCCTGCCTTGGTTCTTCTGGGGACTAGCCCCCTTTCTGAAGCTGTTTACAAGCCCCCAGTCATCTCATTAACGTGAAACAGAAATTCTTATCACCACCAAGATTCTATGGTCTTTAGGAGTTGTGTGTCAGGAACCGGGGATAAGTATCTATTTTTTATACCACACAGTGTCCCAGCTCCACTTGATTCTGTTAGACACATCTGTGATCGTGATGATTCAGAAACTTGGGGAACTCAGAGTGGAAGGTCTTGGCCCTACCCACCCAGACTTCAGAAGCTGAAGAGGTTCCCCATCCCTTCCCTGTTTCGATTTTACAGACAGAGAAGACAGCCTAGAAGGGGGAAGAGATCCTACAGTGGGGAAGGGGCATACTCACAGCGATCGACAATTTAGAGAGAAAAATGGGGAAAGACGGACGGTCAGTAGGTCAAGTGGCGCCCCGGAGGGCCAGTCGCCCCATTTTCTAGGCTGTGACTTTGAACCACTGCTCCCCAGCCCACGGTGGTGGTACGGACAAGCTTGATTCAGAGCCCAGCTCCACCACCTGCAGAGGCAGCTAAAGGTTTTTTAAACCTCCCGTGCCTCAGCTTCCTCCCTATGAACGTGGGCAAGCACAGCCTTCCTCGCCCAGCTCGGGGGCAATGAATGGGTACCGTGGAGCTTCCGGGGTCCTGAGGTGTTACTGAGGTCACGGTCGTCACTGCTGACCTCTGGCGCGCGGCCCTGGCAAGATGCCCTCAATTCCTCCAAAAGGAAAGCACTACCGACCAACACTTCTATCGATCGACCCCTCCTTTCTCGGGCTTGACGACTGCCTGGACCCGCCAAGCCTCCAGTCTGTGGGGTTGCCGCGGACCGCCCCGGCCCCGCCACTCGCTGGGACCACCCGCAGCCCCAATCCAGCTGTCACGCCGGCTCACCTCCGCGCACGCGCGCCGGCCGCAGCAGCAACCTCCGGATCCAGCGCCCGCGGCGCAGTGGCGGCGAGTCACGTGACAGTCCCCTGCGCAGGCGCCCTTGGTGAGTGCTTGTCTCCGGGCGTGCGCCCTCTGGTGGTGGGGCGCGCAGGGGCATCCTCGCCCTCTTGGCCTCGGCGCCCCTGGAAAGTGGGAGGGGCCCAGGGGCCACGCGCACTGCAGGAGAGAGGGCTCTGGGGAGATGCCTGGTTTCGCTTTTTGCAATCAGGGGACGGTGCGACGCCCCCGAGTGAGCAGCTCTCCGCATTCTAGAGCCCACCAGGCCACTCCAGAGGCCTGACTGCGAGTTTAGCACCCAGAGGCCGAAAATTTGGAAGCAACTTAAACTTCTTCTGAAAGGAAAATGTCATAACCCATAAAACCGTCATGAAAACTGTCATGAAAACATTCAATGCCGAGGTACTTTTCATACATTGAGAAAAGGCTCATGTTAAGAGGAGCAAGCTTATACTGCAAGAAACCAACACAACATTGTAAAGCAACTATGAGCTAAGTTACTTCAGTCGTGTCTGACTCTTTGCGACCCCATGGACTGTAGACCACCGGGCTCCTCTGTCCTTGGGAATCTCCAGGCAAGAATACTGGAGTGGGTTTCCATGCCCTGCTCCAGGGGATCTTCCTGACCCAGAGATTGAACCTGGGTCTCTTCCATCTCCTGCATTGGCAGGCAGGTTCTTTACCACTAGTGCCACCTGAAGTGAAAGTGAAAGTCACTCAGTTGTGTCCCACTCTTTGCGACCCTATACAGTCCATGGAATTCTCCAGGCCAGAATACTGGAGTGGGTAGCCTTTCCCTTCTCCAGGGGATCTTCCCAACCGAGGGATCGAACCCAGTTCTTCCACATTGCAGGTGGATTCTTTACCAGCTGAGCCATAGGGGAAGCCAAAAAATACTGGAGTGGGGAGCCTACCCCTTCTCCAGGGGATCTTCCTGACCCAGGAATCCAATCCAATGCAGGTCTCCTATATTGCAGGCAGATTCTTTACCAACTGAGCTATCAGGGAAACCGGCACCACCTGGGAAGCCCAAAGCAACTATACTCCAATAAAAATGTAATAATAATAAAAGAGGAGCAAAATTTTCAAGTGAAAAGTTGGATCCTGTGACCCTGTCAGGTGGAACCAGGCACAGAAAGCCCCACACAGCAGTGTCAGAGTGGGATTGAGGGCTTCCCTGCTTCTTTGTGGGGTTTGTGTTTCTGAAATATTTTAGAATAAATACACTTTTTTCTCACACATTCAGAAAAAATTTTTATTTTCCTGCTGAAACATTTAAAATTATCTTGTAGAACATTTTCCCTTTAAACTGCAGGGAAGGCATAGGTAGCAGGTGCTTGGGAATCACAGTGTTGGGGGAGATGCCCTGGGTGGACGAGGGCTGTGGACAAGTGGGCAGACAAAGGGAGGTCTGTGTTCACACACCCGTGTGATCTCACCTCAGGCTTTAGGCCTCCAGACACAGCTAGGGATTCACATCCCCCTGGACTTGCTCCCGTAAGTTGGGAATCTGGATTTAACCCATGCTGAAGGTGGGGGCAGGAGCAGAGGCCTGTATTTCCAGTTTTACTAGAAGTTAGCCCAACGTGGGAATGCAGGTTTGTGTTCACTGACACTGCCTTTGCAAGTGGAAGACTCACCAAAATGGAACCGCAAGCACAGGGATTTCCTACAAAAAAATTCCTACAATGCCCTGTCTCTCTTTAGTGGTGTCATTCTCTGAGGATAGGAAGATTCCAGTTCTGATGACACTCCAGACTGGCCTCCTCCTTGTGGGGGGGTTGGGGATTGGGGCTCTCTAGGACCCGGATGACCCCAGCCTTCTGGCGATGGGCTGGCTGACCTTGAGCAGGGCCTCTTGGAACTGGGGGTACTGTTCCTTCACGTGGTGGAGGATGCTGCCAATGCTGACCAGCCTGTCGTGCAGACGCTTGAGCTCCATCATCAATGACTGTTTATTGCGGAGCGTGAAGACGTACCGCCCGTCCTTCACGGCCTGCAGGTACTTGAGGCGCGTCTGCAGGGCCACGAGCTCAGAAAGATTCTTGGGAGGGACAAGTGACCCCATGTCAGGCTATGCGTGTTCAAAAGAGGACACCCACTGGCCTGGCACAAACTCCGACTTGAGGATGCGCCAGTGGAGAGCTTGGCAGATCCAGGGGAAGGGGCCGATGGACCCGCCCTCACCCACAGTCCAACCTGCCAGGTGCCCACCACACCCATCTCAGTTGATTGGGCCCAAACACTGCAGCCCTGAGTGACCCCTGTCTTCTGCTCACACCATATTCAATCCAGCAGAAAATCCCAGTGGGGCAGCTTTGAAATGACACGTGGAGTCTGATGGCTTCTTGCTAGCCTGAGGTTACTCCTGGTCTGTGCATCCTTCTTAAGAACTGTGACGGCCTAAGACAGGCCCTGTGTCCACTCTCGGCCCTCACATCCCACACTCATCATGAGAAACAAATGACTGCAGTGATCCCAAGTCACTCTTCCCCACCCCATCCCTGAGGGAGCAGCCCATGGTCATGGTATTGCCCCCTCCAAGCCTTGCAAGCCCGGGGCCTTGGGCAGCCTCCACTCCTGCTGTACCTGGGGGTGCTCACTCCCTTGCCTCCCCTTCAAATTTTGACTCAAATGTCACTTCTCCTGTGTGGCCATCTCAGACCACCCTCCTTCCTAGCGCTGCCCCCATCCACCTGACACCCCTTCTCTGCTTCCTCTTTTTCCAGAGTATCTGTCACCATCAGATATGAAGTATCAGTTTGCTTATTAGTTTGATTATCTGTCCTCCCACCCTCAGAAGGTGACCTCAGGGAGGGCAGGGGTTGTCATCTTTTCTGTTCGCTGTACCCCTGGCACTAAGGACAATGCCGGCCTGTGGAGCCTTCATGAGCAATGTGAGGTGGATGACAGCAGTAGGTAGTGCTATGATCAGCCTGGGCTTAGCTGGGCCAGAGCAGGCCTTGCTGCTGGGTTCCTGTGGCCCTGGGGCTTGCCTACCTGTCGCTTGAGGGTCGCCAGCCGGTCCAGCTCAACTTCGAGCTCGTCGGCCTCAACCTGCATCCTCGACAACTGCTCCTGTTTTTCCAGGAGGGAGTCACTCATGGATTTTTGAGATTCTTCCAGTTCCAGGATGGTTTGGGTGCACTCCTCGGTGGCCTGGGGTGGGAGTGGGGTGAGACAGGAACATCCTGGGACCCTGCCCCCAGTTATTCAGGGGACAGAGAAGAGTCAGGCAGGGAGGACCCCCCCCAGGACCCTCTAGGCACATAATCTGGGAGGAATTCCAAAGCTGGGGTGTAGGAGAGTGCTGCAGGTGGGGAGGCCAGCGAGGGAGCCATGGCCAGACCCTCTGTGGCAGTAGGGAGAAGAGGATTCTGTCGCCAACCCGGGCAGAGGAGGCCCCTGGGGAGCCAGGAGGGGTGGACAGGGATGGACAAAACAAAGTCCAGGACAGAAGAAAGTCCAGGAGTGGCCAAGATGGCAGAGAAATGCACAAACCAGGACCAGAAAAGGCCCCTCTGCACCTTCAGGAACGTCCAAATAAGCAGTTGGATCAACTCCATCATTTTCAGCTACCCTTTCCTCATGCAGGACTCCCCCGACCAGGGCTATTCCAACATTCTCCATCTGGCCCTCTGGGTGACACCATGAGGTGAGGGCCCACTTCACAGGTCAGTAAGCCAAGGTACAGACAGGTCGGACAACATGCCTGAGCCACAGCAGAAGAGCAGGGCTGGGACCCACGGTGGGGCTCCAAAGCCAGGTTCTGTCTCGGGTAACCCTCGCCTCTCTGGGAGGCGTCACTGCTCCTGTCTCCACTGAAGACGGGGAACTGTGGGGGCAGGAGGTTTCTCACCCACTGAGACCACACAACCGGCCAGTGGGGGCCGAGAGAAGTCTGAGCTCAGAGCCCTGCCTGGCGACGGTGAAAGGAGGAGGCGCAGGGGCCATAGCTGGTCCCCTCCTGGGGCAGGCACACACCGCATGGCTGGTCAGTGTGGCCAGGTGGACGGGGACACGTGCTCGAGCGGGTGCCCTCCATGTTCCCATCAGCCCATCCCCAGCACCCACAGGGGCTCACACTCGTCACCAACACTCCGTGCTTCCCTGACGCCATTTCTGTTAGAAGAGGGGGCAGAAACGGGGCCGCTTCCAGCCCTGAGCTGCACCGGCCTCATGGCTCTTCTGTTAAACCCAAGACAAACTCCCAAGCAAAGGCCCGATCAGAGCAGGGCGTTAGGGACACCCGGGAAGCACCTGTGGATCTGGCCGCCACTCTGTCTTGACCCAGAACTGGCGCGTGGGGTGTGGGGCTCAGACTTTTGTCCCTCAGTGCAGAAGAAAGTGGCTTGTCTGACTCAGGAGCTGAGCTCCTTCCATCCCCCAGCCCCCACTGTCACTTCTTTTTCTCATAAAACAGCCCTGACAGCAGCTGGGACCACAGCTCCAGGAGTGAGGGGCAAGAGAGGCGGTAGGGCAGATGAGGTGGGGAGGGACCCCCGAGAAGCAGGCTGGAAGGACTGAGTGAAATCACAGCCCACGTTGGAGAAAGTGCCTCAGAAACTCAGCGCTGGCTGGCCACGCACGGATGCCTGCCAGTGGGGCCGATGACCCACGCTGACCACCTGTGGACAGGCGGCCCGAGGCGGGGCCCCATCCCTGTCGCCTGGCCCCCCCACCTTGTGAACATCCCTGATCTTCCGGCGGAGCTCGGCCTGCTTGTGGTGGAAGTCTGTCCGCGTGAACAGCTTCTTGTCCATCTTGCTCTGCCCCTCAGCCCGGGTGGAGATGGTATCTCTGCGGGTGACGGCCAGCTCCATGTCCCGGATCATCTTCTCCTGCTGCTTCAGGAGCTGCCCGTGCTTGACCTGGGTGCACAGGGCAGGCGATTGGGCAGGAGAGGGGACCGCGCCACCTCCCACCACACCCAGCTGAACCAGCGGGGAACCCATGAGGGTGATGCCCCAGGAAAAAAGGAACTTGGGGGCTTTGTCAACTGTGTGAACTGTAGCTCACCAGGCTCTTCTGTCCATAGGATTCTTGGCACAAGAATACTGGAGTGGGTTGCCATTCCCTTCTCCAAGGGATCTTCCTGACCCTGTGATCGAACCCATGTCTCCTGCATTGCAGGTAGATTCTTTACTGCTGAACCATCAGGGAAGTCCTGTAAATATGTTATTCCTCAATAAAGTTGATTTAAAATAAGACAGCAGTCTAGTCCCCTGGCAGTCAAGTGGCTAAGACTGCGCTCGCAATGCAGAGGGCCTGGGTTCAGTCCCTGGTTGGGGAACTAGATCCCACATGTTTCAACTAAAGATCCCATGTGTTGCAACTAAGACCCAGTAAAGCCAAATAAATAAATATCAAGACAGTGTGGATTTGGGCTCTTGGATCAGTGGACACAGAAGACAGCCCAGAAAGAGACCCCCAAAAAATATGGATGCTGATTTCCATACGGATATCACTGTAACATGGTTTGTCGTGACAAACACCACCACACTGGAGACAATCAACATCTTCACATCAACCTGGGAAGGTTTCATTAAACTATGTTGTATCCATAGTATATTCTGCAACTATTAAAGAAAGTTAATGTCTGTATCATTAAAAAAAAATAAGTTGCTGAGTTATATGTACTATTTTGGTAAAGGAAAACAAAACTGAAACACAGCTAGGAGGGAGGGGGCTGGCAGCCCTATCTGTGTGTGTGTGTGTGTGTGTGTGTGTGCACCTGTGTGAGTGTGCGTCTCTGTGTCTGTGTGCCTCTGTGTGTGAGTGTAAGCTTTGTGGTACAGTGTTTGACCTGCTGCAGCCACATATATGGCTTCTGTGGTTTGAAAAGTCAGTTAAATAGAGTGTATATTAAACTTATCAGTAGTGGATGCATTTGAAAAGAATTCCTCTGGACTCAGCCAGCAGGGTTATTATTGACCATGTAATTGTAAAAGTGATGTCATATTTCTTTTTATGACCTGCTGTGATTTGTATCCTTAAGTTCCTGAACCTTTGGCTCAGTGACAGCCTGTGATTTAATTACCAGCCTTTTCTTTTTAAGGTAATGAAATCCAGCTAAAGATGACAGTAGAGAGAAAACATGACTCGATGGGGAAATGTGGGTGTGTTCCTTGCACTCTGTTGCTGAGTGAGTCTTTTTGGTCCAATGGTGGGATACATCTCACAAATGGGTCATGAGATTGGGTGGGGATTGCTCAGAGTCAGCATTTTAAAATACTGGAGTACGTTGATTGCTTGGAGTGAGGGTAACATAGTGGTTCGTGAATTCCGTGCAGATCGCTGTGTGTCCTGTGGCCATTCTGGTGCAGTAAGAACAAGAACTGGACAGGCACTGGTGGAGAAGGTCAGCAGGGGGAACAGCGAGTTTCCTTGGAGTGCTTGGAGTGCAGGCTGCTGCGCCAGAGTGGTTTCTTCCCAGGACCCCAAGCTCCAGGCCCCCCACACCTCCCTCCTTCCATCCACCTTCATCCTGTGTATCTCTGCCTTCATGGCCCGGATCTCCATCTGGCCTGTCTCAGAATCCACGGAGGCCCGCATCTCTTTTGCCAGTTGGATTTTTTTCTCCCAAAGCATGATCTGGTGTCTTTAAGGGAAGGAGAGGCAGTGTAAGAGCTGCAGAACAAAGGGGTTTTCTTTCTGATGCTCCGGTGAGCATGATGCGCTATGCTTGGAATGGGCTCAGAGCACAAAGAGCAGTGTCTGTGATGGGCTCTAGGAGACCCTTGCCTTCCTGTCCATGACAGGGTGCCCCTGCTGAGCAGGTGGCATGCACCCAGGCAAGGGTTTAAATAGAAACAAATGTCTCCCATTTTGGGACCAGAAGGTAAACTCAACCCCAGGGCCCACCACCCTCACCTAGAGAGAGGGGGACAAGGGAGAAAGCAGATATGTAGCTTTAGGAGAAGCTGAGTAAGTCAAATATAAGTGATAGAAGTTGACATAAGGAGAAGTCAAAAGCCTAAATAGACCAAGAGCCTGAAAACTATTAAAACGTTAGCAAAGACATATGCCCCCACTTCCCCCCCGCTGTTGTCTGAATGTTTGTGTCTCCACCCCACAAATCTACATGTTGGAATCTGAGTCTTTGGTGGTGGTGGTGGGGGGGTGATGAGGTCATGAGGGTGAAGCCCCCATGAATGGGATTAGTGCACTCATAAAAGAGACCCCAGAGAGCTCCCCTTCTCCTGCCACCCTCTGTGAGGACACCGTGAGGACACCGTCTGCAACCCAGAAGAGAGCCCTCACTCAACCTCACAAGTACCCTGATCTCAGACTTCCAGCCTCAAGAACTATGAGCAACAAATTCCTGTTGTTTATAAAGCCCCAGCCTGTGGTGTTGAGTTATAGCAGCCTGGAGGAACTAAGATCCCCAGAAAAAGTTCCAGGTAGTGTTATGTGTCAATTCTGTCAAAACACGGGGAACGGATGGTCCCTTTGCTGCTCGGCCCCTTGGAGATCCCATGACACCAGTGAGGGTGTGTGCGCACAGTGCGGGCTCAGGAGTCCTTCCAACTGGAAATGCAGACCCATGCACCCCGAGGGGGAAGACATCCACAGAAAAATACACTACAAGGCTAATTCAAAGGCAGACAGAGAAAATTGCACTATGGTTTAAAAAAAAAAAAGAATGAAAGAAAGAGAAAATGGTAAAGGAAGAGGGCTGGATTAAGTGTGATTCTCCTTTCTACTCTGCACTCATTGCAATGGTTTACAATGCTTACTGTTGGGTCTGGATTACTCTTATATTCAGGCACCTGAAAGATCATACAGTTTTTAAAACGTCTGTCCTGAAGGAAGCCACTCCGCTTCCAATGATCACCGTCATGGCTTTGCAGAAGGGCTGCCCGGAGGCACAGGACTCCGCTGCTCCCAGGGATCCGGCTCAGGTTCCAGTCCACCTTCATCCTGTGTATCTCTGCCTTCATGGCCCGGATCTCCATCTGGCCTGTCTCAGAATCCACGGAGGCCCGCATCTCTTTTGCCAGTTGGATTTTTTTCTCCCAAAGCATGATCTGGTGTCTTTAAGGGAAGGAGAGGCAGTGTAAGAGCTGCAGAACAAAGGGGTTTTCTTTCTGATGCTCCGGTGAGCATGATGCGCTGTGCTTGGAATGGGCTCAGAGCACAAAGAGCAGTGTCTGTGATGGGCTCTGGGAGACCCTTGCCTTCCTGTCCATGACAGGGTGCCCCTGCTGAGCAGGTGGCATGCACCCAGGCAAGGGTTTAAATAGAAACAAATGTCTCCCATTTTGGGACCAGAAGGTAAACTCAACCCCAGGGCCCACCACCCTCACCTAGAGAGAGGGGGACAAGGGAGAAAGCAGATATGTAGCTTTAGGAGAAGCTGAGTAAGTCAAATATAAGTGATAGAAGTTGACATAAGGAGAAGTCAAAAGCCTAAATAGACCAAGAGCCTGAAAACTATTAAAACGTTAGCAAAGACATATGCCCCCACTTCCCCCCCGCTGTTGTCTGAATGTTTGTGTCTCCACCCCACAAATCTACATGTTGGAATCTGAGTCTTTGGTGGTGGTGGTGGGGGGGTGATGAGGTCATGAGGGTGAAGCCCCCATGAATGGGATTAGTGCACTCATAAAAGAGACCCCAGAGAGCTCCCCTTCTCCTGCCACCCTCTGTGAGGACACCGTGAGGACACCGTCTGCAACCCAGAAGAGAGCCCTCACTCAACCTCACAAGTACCCTGATCTCAGACTTCCAGCCTCAAGAACTATGAGCAACAAATTCCTGTTGTTTATAAAGCCCCAGCCTGTGGTGTTGAGTTATAGCAGCCTGGAGGAACTAAGATCCCCAGAAAAAGTTCCAGGTAGTGTTATGTGTCAATTCTGTCAAAACACGGGGAACGGATGGTCCCTTTGCTGCTCGGCCCCTTGGAGATCCCATGACACCAGTGAGGGTGTGTGCGCACAGTGCGGGCTCAGGAGTCCTTCCAACTGGAAATGCAGACCCATGCACCCCGAGGGGGAAGACATCCACAGAAAAATACACTACAAGGCTAATTCAAAGGCAGACAGAGAAAATTGCACTATGGTTTAAAAAAAAAAAAGAATGAAAGAAAGAGAAAATGGTAAAGGAAGAGGGCTGGATTAAGTGTGATTCTCCTTTCTACTCTGCACTCATTGCAATGGTTTACAATGCTTACTGTTGGGTCTGGATTACTCTTATATTCAGGCACCTGAAAGATCATACAGTTTTTAAAACGTCTGTCCTGAAGGAAGCCACTCCGCTTCCAATGATCACCGTCATGGCTTTGCAGAAGGGCTGCCCGGAGGCACAGGACTCCGCTGCTCCCAGGGATCCGGCTCAGGTTCCAGGGCCGCGCCTCCCCCGCCCCCTCCCCCGCCACCAACTGGTTTATGTGAACCGTGGGCAGCGACTCTCCGGACCCGCGCCTGGGCACTCACTCCGCCTCCACCAGGCTGTTGAGCACGGCTGCCTTCTCCTCGCTCAGCTGGTTCAGCTTCTCCTGCATCTCGATGGTCTCCCGCTCTGAGGCCTGCGTGGGGAGGGGAGAGGGGGCGGTGGGCGGGGCCGAGGGCTGCGCGCACCTGCTTGCCCCGCCCATCCACTCTGAGCCCGAAGCGCACCTTGAGCGAGAGCACGAACTCGCCCTCCGTGGCCCGGTTGTCCTGCTGCAGCTCCTCGGAGCTGCACCGGTTCTGGTTCATCAGCAAGTTGAGCTTCTTCAGATCGTTGTCCAGGTCCTTCATGTGGCGCTCGATCTGCTTCTGCTCCTTCTTCTCCTGGCTGATCTTGTCTGTGGGGAGGGTGGTCGGGGGTTGGGAATGGCCCCTGGGGGTTGTGATAGGGGGTCTGTGCCTACGGCGCCCCCCCTCCCCGCTGACCTTCTGGCATCCCCACCCAGACGGCGGAGGCGGAAGGGGACAGGGTTGGCGCTCAGACACCAAGTCCCCAGGAAAGGCCAGCAAGCTCCGGGGCAGGGGGTGGAAAGCAACGACCCGACCTCGCATAAGCAGGTTTGGGAGCCCAGAGGGCCGGGCAAGAAGGCGGCAGGACCTCTGGGAAGAAACAGGCATGATGTGTCCAGGCAGAGTGGACCCTGGGCACCTGGCAGCACTGCCTGTGGGGCTGCAGGGCCCGGCTGACCCGGTGGGACCAGGTGGCACCAGAAAGCCTCAGCAGGTGCTGTGGAGGGGCTGGGCAGGGGAGCTCACTTTCTATCCGTAGTTTCTTCTGCTCCAGGATGTGGATCTCCTTCTTGGACATGTCCAGGGAGACCAGGTGCTCCTCGCGCTCCTGGGTGACCTTCACCATCTCCTGCTGCAGCCGCAGCCAGGTCACCTGGGCCTGCGTCACGTTGGTGTTGTTCTCCTCGATCAGCTTGGTCAGCCTCTTGATCTCCAGCTCCAGGGGCCCCAACTCTTCGCCCTGAAAGCGATGTTCACCAGAAAGCAGACTGAGTCCCTAAAGTCAGGGTGGGCTGCAGAGAGCAGGGACACCTGAGATGATGCACCCGTATGCTGAGTGGGGGGATCTTTACTCAGAGGGCCTAAGGACCCTGTCATTGTGTCCCCTCTTCTGCCGCCCCAGGCCATATGGCCTGACCTGCTGTGGGAGATTCTCTTCTGGTGATCTGCCGGTCTGCCACCCCCTTCCCTTCCTCCACTGGCCTGGCCTCACCATGCTCCAGTTTTGTGGGGCTTCTGTTACCCAAAGGGGCTTGGCAAATTGTCATAGATTAGGGTCTTTACTCCCTTGGAATCCATTTGGGTTGCAGCTCTGAGACCATGCTCTGGTTGGGGTCTACCTAAGAGTGTGCCCACCAACTGCCCATGCTGCTCTGGGGTTTGAGGCTGTTGTGGGGTCCTCAGGTCAGGAATATTGGATAACCTGTAGAGCTTCAAGCCTCAAACCCAACAGAACACTTCACTAAGAGCAGCAGTCAGTGAGATCCTGCCTGTTGCCTGTCTTCACATAGTCCATAGGACACACAAAATATCAAAAGAAGACAATTTCGTGCCAGGTGGGAGTTATATGGAATCCAGACTTCAGGGGCCATAAGTAAGGTTTCATCGCACGTGGACACACTCGTCTGTTTACCTATTGCCTCCTTGTGGCTCCTCCTTGTAACCACTAGGGTGAGGGGTTGCAACAGAGACCATATGGTCCATAACACCTGAAATATTGACTATGTGGCCCCACAGAGAAGGTCTGCAGACAGCCCCTGAGTCAGCATTCTACACAGACACGTGCATTTCACCCGTAAGATGGGCAGGGCGGGAACACCTATGTTCTACATGAGTCCGTTCCTGAACAGATGCAGTTTCTGAAATGGCCAGGCACATATATCAACCCAAGTGACCTCTCCTGGTCCCGGGGTCCTACCCCAAGTTCAGAAACCATCTGCTCCAGCTGCTTGTTGAAAAAGTTGATGAGGCCTTGCTTTCTTTCAATGAGGATTGTGCGCCTGGAAATTTCATTTTCACTGTTGGTGATGAGGTCGTTGACTTTTTTCACTTCCTTATCCAGCTCGGCCAGCATCTTCTGATGCATGTCCAGCCTGCAGTTGGTGTTCGTGATGTCCAGGGTGGTCTGAGCAATGTCACCATCAATTTTGGAAAGATGTGTCACCTGAATTAGCAGAAGGAAACAAGTCTGAACTTTTTTCCCCTTTCTGAGAGGCTCCACATGAGCTGGTTGGTTTCATGTTTTCCGTGGTCTGGGTATTCATCTGGAGAAACAGAGGAGGATGTTGGTTTTCTCTCCACCTTATGACCTGTGAAAGGACTTCCTTGTTTGAACCCTAATGATTCCTCACAAAAAAAGAAAGCTGACATTATTATCTCTTATCAAACAGTAACATATATTGAAATGGGGAAATGTGAAAATACAGATGATTGCCCATAAATCTATCCTGCCTTCTTGACTTTGCCCTCTTCCTCTGTACCCAAACAAAAACAGGGTCACACTCTACATATAGCTTTGTAAGCCACGTTTCAATTCAACACATGTCATATCATGTCATTTTTAATGATTGTATAATAGTCATATTTATAACAGAGATCGGGAAGCAAGTTACAGCTGTCCCTGGGAATGTCATCTGTTCCACAACAAGCACAGGAGCCCTGCTGTTGATAGCTCATGTGTTTTTGGTGAAGAAAACCAACATGCCTTCCCTCTTTGAGCTTGTCATCTGTTATCAACATTCCTACTCGAAATAATGCTGTGACAAATGCCAACTTCTAACTGTGGAAAATTATGAAAGAGATGGGAATACCAGACCACCTGACCTGCCTCTTGAGAAACCTGTATGCAGGTCAGGAAGCAACAGTTAGAACTGGACATGGAACAANTGGCCACCTCATGCGAAGAGTTGACTAATTGGAAAAGACCCTGATGCTGGGAGGGATTGGTGGCAGGGGGAGAAGGGGACGACAGATGATGAGATGGCTGGATGGTATCACTGACTCAATGGGCATGAGTTTGAGTAAACTCTGGGAGTTGGTGATGGACAGGGAGGCCTGGTGTGTTGCGATTCATAGGGTCGCAGAGTCGATCACGACTGAGCGACTGAACTGAACTGATGCAGTAAATGCTGGCCCAGGACTTTACTGCCCTCATGTGGACACGAATAGTAGTACACCTATTGCCCACAAAGCGAGCCAACAAATGCTGGTTCAGGACTCTATACTGCCATCCTGTGGACATGGGTGGTAGTACACCTGCCACCCACCAACTGTTTCAACAAATGTTGGCCCAGGACTTTACTGCCCTCGTGTGGACACAGGTGGTAGGACATCTGCCACCCACCAAGTGTTCCAACAAATGCTGGCCCAGGACTCTCTACTGCCTTCCTATGGACATGGGTGGTAGTACACCTGCCACCCACCAACTGTTCCAACAAATGTTGGCACAGGACTTTACTGCCCTCGTGTGGACACAGGTGGTAGGACATCTGCCACCCACCAAATGTTCCAACAAATGCTAGCCCAGGACTTTATTGCCCTCCTGTGAACATGGGTGGTAGTACACCTGCTGCCCACAAATTTTTGCAATAAATGCTGGTCCAGGACTCTTTACTGCCCTCGTGTGGACATGAGTGGCAGTACACCTGCTGACCATGAATTTTTGCAATAAATGCTGGTCCAAGCCTCTTTACTGCCCTCCTGTGGTCATGGGTGGTAATACTCCTACCCCACGAATTTTTGCAATAAACGCTAGCCCAGGACTCTTTACTGCCCTCCTGTGGACATGGGTGGTAGTACACCTGTATCCCACCAAGTGCACCAACAAATGCTGACCTGGGACTCTTTACTGCCCTCCTGTGGACACGGATGGTAGTACACCTACTGCCCACGAAGTGCTCCAACAAATGCTGGCCCAGGACCCTTTACTGCCCTCCCGTGGACATGGGTGGTAGTATACCTCCTGCCCACGAATTTTTGCAACGCATGCTGGTCAAGTACTCCTTACTGCTGTCCTGTGGATATAGGCGGTAGTACACCTATCACCCACCAAGTGTTCCAACAAATGCTGGTCCAGGACTTTACTGCCCTCCTATGGACATGGGCACACACGGGTGACTGGGAAAGGGGGACACCTGGGAGTCTGGGGATCAGCCTCTGTGATGTTGCATCAGGGCTGGGCAGGTTTATTTCACACTCACCACACTGCATAACGTTTCCAATGCACACTTGGGCCCAGCTGTTTTGCTCCCACCAGGTAGTCTTGCCCCCACTTCCTGGAATAAGAACTGGTAGGACTCCACTAGCATCAACCAGGACATCTTAAGGAGACCCGGGCATCCACAGTCTTGGCTCCAGCCCCCTCTCCTCAGTTCCATGGCAGAGTCAAGCCAGGAGTGAGCTGGTCTCCTCCCAGGTATCTGGAGGTGCCTCCGGCTTCTAGCCAGGTAGACAGCACCCCAAGGCAGTCACACAGGAAGAGCCAAAGAAGAAACAACCTAAGTAGCAAATTGCTTTTTTCAGGACATAGGGGCCCCTGCTCAGAGAAAGGCAAGACCCCTGGGGGAGCAAAAGGGAGCTCATGCCAGGGATAAGGGTTGGGTCCTCAGTCCAGAAGGGCCAGTCACACTCACTCAGGACCTTCAGGCACATCCTGGGAAAGCAGAGGGTCAGGCTACTCCATGATTCATTGTAAATGCTCCTACCAATTTGACCAGGGTCTCTGATGCAGCAATTTATCCTCAGACATGTGGACAAAGATGTGTGAACAAGTATGTTCAGTGCTGAGTTATTTCTAAAGTTTAAAACCTAGAAACAACTTTAAGTGTCCAAAGAGAGAATTAGTAAAGAAAACATGTATATTTGTAGGATAAAATGCAATGCATAAACCAACATGCACTTTTTCTAATAATATTCATGGAAAATGTTATGTTAAATATGACCAATAATGTAAAATAAAACACTACACACATAGTGAAAAATAATGGACTCCTACACTTGTTTGTGCACTTTTCGCTCTGTGTTGTGTTTCAGTAAAATTAATGAAAATGGATTAGAGTGGTTTAAAGACCGATATATAGTGAGAGTCCTATGTCCTCTCAGGTTGTGTGTGCATATGTATCTTCACATGTCTGTTCATGTATGTGAACATGTTAAACAAATGTGTACATGTGCGTGTGAATCTGTGTGCTTGTGTTTGCTCATGTGTGCATGTGGGGATGTGTATGTGAATGTGTGTTTCTGTGTGTCTTTGTGTGTATGAGTATGACCATGTGTGTTTAGAAAAATTTCCAGAAGGAAATACACCACAGTTTCAGAGAGATTATCTCTGGATGGTGGGATTGCAGCTGTCTTATTTTCTTCTTATGCCTTTTTGTACTTCCAGGTTTTCTGTAGTAAAAAATGCATTACTTTTACACCTAGAAAAAAATGAAAGGTGAATGAACATGCTCATTGCCCTTCTGCCACATGTGATCTGTTCCCCACTAGAGCTGCCCCAATGCTTGAGCACCATGAAAGCATCCACCCCTTGGGGCCCAGGTGTGTGCAGCTGGCGTACCAGGTTGGTCTTTTCCTTCTGGAGTTTCAGGATGAGCTGGTGGAAGTATTTGGTCATCTTGTTGGAGGTCATGTGCTCCTTCAGCTTCTCCATGATGGAGGCATCCATCTTCCTCCTCAGCTCCAACTCATGCTGGATGGCCTGGTGGAGAGTCTGCAATTCTCCCACAGTTGCTGTGTATTCCTAGAAAGGAAGAGTCAGAGGGTGGATACTGGGAAGCAGAGTGGGGAGGCTTGCCCTGCTGGTGGGGGACATGACTGTACCACATGGGCCTTGCCCAGTGCATCCTCTGTGTCCAGCAGGGTGAGCCTGTAGGTGTTAAACTCATTCTGCAGGGCCTCCTCCTTAGTCAGGCACTGTGAAGTCAGTTTTTGCATTAGGTTGGCTTCTGTCTCTGCCCGGTTCAGGATGCTGGCCAGCTTCTCATTCTTTTCTTCCTCCTTCACGATGGATTTCTTATAGGCTTCAAGCTCAACATCCATGGACTTGACTTGATGCTGGCATTCACTGCCAAAATTGAAAGAGCAAAGCCAGGATATCAGAATACCAATGCGTATGGTGGTACTCAATGGGAGAAAGCTCAAAGAGTGAAGAGAAAGAAATTAGGAAGCCAACTCTATTAGTATTAGTCAAATATTTTTAAAAATTTTGCATGACTTTCAAATATTATTTATTTTTTTAGCAACACTACACAACATGTAGGATCTTAATTCTGCAACAACAGATCAAACCCATGCCTCCTGCAGTAGAAGCATGGAATCCTAACCACTGAACCACCAGGGAAGTCCCAACAGTAGTTGAATCTTGACTACTATTTTATAATGTGTTGGAACTATCACCCTTCTCAACCCAAATCTAAAACTCTTCTAATATTGCGATGATAGGAGGAGGAAGGACAGGAAACTGTTGGCTTGTACTTAGTGGTGAGGAGTGGTCACTGCCAGCCCATCTCCTTTAGTCGTGACCATAATCTTGGAAAGAAAATGCTTTTATCTCAGTTTAGCACTCTTGAACATGAAGCTCAGGGCATTTGAATAAGTGGAGTGGCTAGGAGGAACACAGGTGGCTGTCTCTTAAAATTCCCTCAGCATACTGGCCATGGACATGCCCATAAGTAATGTCAAGTTAAAAACTGCAGATCCTGGATAATGGAATTTGAACTTTTGTGTGTGAGACATTTTTTCCCTTAATTCTTTTCAATGACCAGATAGAACTTTAAATACCTCATTGGCATACAGTTAGACTCTATCCAGTTTTGTGGGATTTTTTTTTTCATTTCATCAGTGTAGCAGTAAACATCATTAGTCAGTCAGTTCAGTTGCTCAGTTGTGTCCGACTCTTTGTGATCCCATGGACTGCAGCAAACCAGGCCTCCCTGTCCATCACCAACTCCCGGAGCTTGCTCAAACTCATGTCCATCGCATTGGTGATGCCATCCAACCATCTCATTCTCTGTTGTCCCCTTCTCCTCCCACCTTCAATATTTCCCAGCATCAGGGTCTTTTCAAATGAGTCAGTTCTTTGCATCAGGTGGCCAAAGTATTGGAGTTTCAACTTCAGCATCAGTCCTTCCAATGAATATTCANAGCTTCAGCATCAGGCCTTCCAATGAATATTCAGGACTGATTTCCTTTAGGATGGACTGGTTGGATCTCCTTGCAGTCCAAGGGACTCTCAAGAGTCTTTTCCAACACCACATTTCAAAAGCATCAATTGTTCAGTGCTTTAATGGTGAAGAACCTGCCTGCCAATGCAGGAGACACAAGAGAAGCAAGTTCAATCCATAGGCTGGGAAGATCCCCTGCAGGAGGGCACAACGACCCACTCCAGTGCTCTTGCCTGGCTAATCTCATGGACAGAGGAACCTGGTGTGCTGCAGTCCATGGGGTCACAAAAGAGTCTAACATGACTAAGCCACTAAACAGCAACAACAAATTGCCAAATATTCTATCTCTGCTCATCAGCATTTAATTATTGCTGTTGAACTGTTAAAGGATTTTGAGAAGATCATTATTTGACAAAGTACACCCATGGCAGATTTAGCTGTGTGCATAGAAGATATTCATTTTTTTTATGATGGTGCTATTTCACTTGTTTAATTTATTGAGCAACTATCATGTGCCGGGTAGTCTCCTAGAAGCTGGCAGTTCAGGTCTTCTGCATTGAAGGTGGATTCTTTACCGTCTGAGCCACCAAGGAAGTTTTCTAAAGAATATTTATCTAAGAATTCCAGGATTTTGAAATAAAGTATTACTATATGCTGGCCATCAAACTTTTTTTGGAAGCTTTTTTTATTTATTGTGAAATAATATTTCTCATGTGTTTGTTTGGCATCCTGGATAGTGAAGATTAACTAAAATGGTGAAGAAAAAAAAAGAAAACATGGCGTAGCAACCTGGAGAGAGTTGAAGTGACATTAGATATGTTCTTCTTAGAAGCAGGAACAATCAAATCCAGCTTTGCCTCAAGATTCAGATAATTCTAAAACAGCTAACTTTCTAAATAGAGGAGGCTATCCCAATTAAGTAAATTGTAATTTGTATGGGAGGACCTGATTATAGAAAAAAGGTTGCTTTAAAAAAAAACAACTAATAAATCCCCCCAAACAACAATTATATTAAAATATACATTATACTTTTTTGAAGGGAATATAGTGTCTGCTGTATGTTTGGCAATCCTGACCAACCACTTGAGAAAAGATAATCTTAATTTTTGTTAATTAAAGTGACTATAAATCAAAAATAATTGTGATTATGTAAGTAGCCTAATTAAAGCACAAAAAGTCCCTTGATTAATGTATGTCTGATGAAGAAATATAATGGCAGATATGAAAAACAGCTTTAATTTCAAGCCCTTCTGCAACCACAAAATAGTTAGTTCTCAAACAATCTGATGAATATAAATGACGTTGTGAAATGATATAGTGTTTTTGGTCAAGGATCATTCTTTCTGCTGGAGAAGGAAATGGCAACCCACTCCAGTATTTTTGCCTGGAGAATTCCATGGACAGAGGAGCCTGGTGACCTATAGTCCATGGGGTAGCAAAGAGTTGGGCATGGCTGAGTGACTGAGCAGGCATGCATCCTTTCTGCTAATCCAGAACCTAATGCCAGATATTCATATGCTTTCACTTCTCAAGCTACAGAACCTGCATAGAAATTTTGACTCTTCTCAGGATCCAAATATTTGAAGTTACTAAACAGTACCAAAGTATTGATGTTATATACTTATATTTTATGGGTATAACATGTTATGGCTGCCTCTAATAGGACCTAGAGATCCGTGAAATAATATTGATCTTCAAATAAATTTAACTGTCATTTTTACCAGCAAAATGAGTGTATATGGGAAAAGAAGAAAACTGTGTACCTCAGGACCAGCAGTGTATGGTGAACTATAGGCAGGTCTGGAGAACAGAGGAGGGGGGCTTGCTTTTGTAGAGGAAAGGTAAATTGAGGAGGCTGTGGTGGTTCTTAATTGGCTGTAGGTGGGGGCCAGTTTGCTGTTCTGGGTCAGGAAATCTTTCTTTCTGCTGGGATCTGCAGGCTGGGGTGAGTTATATGCATGGCAGCACCCTTTTCAGGGCTTCCAGGCTCCAATTTGAATGAAATTTGTTTATTTTCACAGTGCATGTGTATGCATGCTCAGTTGCTCAGTCATGTCCAGTTCTTTGCAGCCCCATGGACTGTAGCCCATCAGGCTTCTCTGTGGAATTTTCCAGGCAAGCATACTGGAGTGGGTTGCCATTTCCATCTCCAGAAGATCTTCCTAACCCAGGGATTGAACCCATGTCTCTTGTGTCTCCTTCATTAGCAGGGGGACTCCACCACTAACACCACTTGGGAAACCCTTCACAGTACATAAATATTTCCAAACTGCTTCTAGAATTCTTATATTTTAATTTCTTTTGAAATTTATATAATGGCTTATGCTCCTGATTTCTGTCCCAGTCTTTCTTTGATTTTAGTATCAACATATCATTGAAGTGACCATTTCAAATGATGTAACCATAAGGTCAATGAAATTCAGAGTTCCCATTAGAAATTAGTTTTCCCCCAAAGAAGAAAGGATGTCTGTTCATGATTTTTCCCCACTAATTTCTATTTTAAAAGAAGAGACATTTTCCCAAGGAAAGAAAATTTCCAATAAATGATATTAGCTTAAAAGTTGAAATTACAGTAAACTACAGGCATCCGAAATCAAACTAATTTGGAAAAACACTCTTCTTTCCTCATAGACCTATCATTAAGTCATTCTGTCTGATGTACCATAGGCTTGAAATTAGGTAAAGCAGAGATGCCTCTGGTACAGTTTTCAAGTGTGGAACACTTCTATTCTAGATTTCTATTGAATTTGTATAATGACACACCTTATCTCCCTCTTTTTAAATGCCATATTTCTTATTTAGAATTTTCAAGTTTCCGATAACTCCAGTAGCAAAGAAATCTGATTCACCTTCCTTAATCCAAAGTTTACCAAATTTATTTGCTGAGGGGATGCTTTTTCATATCAGACCAATTAACATCTTCTGGGACTAGTGTCTCACAGAACAAATGCTACTAAAATACCCGAGCATTTTAGTTGCTGCTGGAATGAAATCCATATCTGATTAACAAAGAGGTTTTCAGTTTTGTAAAACTCAGATACCAGCTTGGTACTAGCCCAGAAACCTATTGGACACTCTGAATTATTGATCTTTTAGAGGTCGTCAGTGATTAGTAATTGACTACTCAGGTGGCGCTAGTGGTAAAGAAACCAGCTGCTAATGCAGGAGACTAAGAGATATGGGTTTGATCCCTGGGTCCAGAAGATGCGCTGGAGAAGGGAATGGCAACCCACTCCAGTATTCTTGCCTGGCGAATCCCATGGACAGAGTATTCTGGCGGGCTATGGTCCATAGCATCACAAAGAGTCAGCCATGACTGAAGTGACTTAGCACACTTTGAGAACAGACTCAATATATTTAAAAATCCAACATCTTTGGAATTTGACAGTACCACTTTGGAGTGAGCAACTAAAGTGCATATTTCATATTTTGGAGTCTATGAAAATACACTGAATTTAGGGACAGAAATGTACTGAGCAATACTTAATGGAACTGGCCTTCAATGTGAGAGGGATTCGTACTTACTTGCAGAACATAATTTTCTGGGAGCTCCAAGGCTTTTTAAGCCCAAACTTACTTGTTCACATTCTGTCACCCAGTGAAATTCCAACTGTGGCGCTCTCTGACCTCTCACTTGAATTAGAGAATCAAAGCAATGAGGGCATTTTCTACCCTATGACTCTACTTCGGCTTTTTCTCTTCCCCCAAATGCCTTTGTCCTTTATGCCTCAGCCTCCACCCATCAGAATTCTCTGCTGTCCCCAAACTTCCTGACCTCTCTATTACCTTTCCCCATTTTCTTCTTGATGGAAAACTATTTGTCCAAGCCTCTATGAGGTCATCCCAATGATTTCTTTCTTCCTACGTCCCAAGGATTTTGCTTGCCTCTTTGTTATAACACATTCTATGAAATACTGTTACTGAGAAATGTGTAATAGTCAACCAACATTGATAAGGCACTTTTAGTAATCAGAGACCATGTTTTACTTTTGAAAAACAGTGTCTTGCACAGAGTAATTACTCAAAATTGGGTGGCATGGCAACCTCAAAATTGACCTTGATCATCTTTTTTACATTAGGAAAGTCACATGAAAACTCAGATTGAAAATCACATTCTGAGTTTCTGTTTATTAGTCTTTTACTGAAATACATAGGTCACTTCACATGTGAACAGGTATTTCTTTCTTAAGGACCCAAGCATTTTTGGTATATTTTCTTAATTCACTTAATTGGTCACTTAATTCTGGACCCTGTACAGCTGGTTGAAATTTTTTAATAAAATGAAAAGGCAATATGATACATACAACTATATAGTCAAATTTTGGTTTTTTATTCCCTCCAGATGTTGTTCTTCAGTCATTTCTTTTAGTGGTTAGAAATTGTTCTTTTCTTAGGGAATTCCCTGGTAGTCCAGTGGTTAGGACTGTATATTTTCATTGTCGAGGGCCTGGGTTCAATCCCTGGTTGGGGAATAAGATATCACAGGCCTTGTATTGCAGCCAAAACAAATATTCTTTTTTTTTTAACTTTTTACTTTTAAATAATTTCAGATTTACAAAACTGTTTGAAAAATATTGCAGAATTTCCTTATAATTTCCAACCAGTTTCCCCAAATGTTAACA